AGAGTAAACCCGTTTCGGAAAACGCAGCGTCGAGATCCCGTCTCTAAGCAAATAGTTCTGCAAAATAAATATTGGCGTGGCAGTATCAGCTTCCCTCTCTTAGACCTCAGAAATCTCCTATTTGCAAGAGTACCAATAAAGGCGTTGGAATGGTTTGCTTTGCTTTAGTGTTTCCAAATGTAATCTTAGGTTAGAAATGGAAGAATCAATCTGTAAAAATTGCAGCTGATATAGGCTGCTGCCATTTATAGTTATGGATGATCCTTCAACTTTAGTTTGGAATAATATTTCTTTTCCATTGTCCCATAAAATTTCCTTCAGCTTCTAAGTCTGAATTTGAACTTCCAACTTAAAAAAGTGATTAAGTTGTTCTGTTAGGCAAAAATATTTGGTTTAAATATTATTTTGATTATTGTACATTTGTTTATTTTTATTCCTATATTTTTAAAATATCTAATTCAGTCCCTTAGTTTTAAAATGTTAAAAGGTTCCGTACTTGATCATTTGGGACTCTATACTTAATCATTTTGGTCTTTTATTTGTAAAATTTTAATACAAATAATATAAATTTATAGCAAAGTGTTTTTGATCAAAATAAATTAGATAAAAAGAAAAATAGAAAAAATAGTGATTTGAATAAAGTACGAAGATCAAAATGAATATTTTAAAACTGTAGGAAGTAAAATCAAATTGAAGGTAGGACCAAAATGAAGGTTGAAATTAGTATTTAAACCAAAATATTTATTTATGAGTTGACATTTCAGTTTATTGTATCTAAAGTTAAACCAACCAAATACAATTTTTTTAATTCTATTTTTTTAAACCCTTTTTTAATTATATTAATAACTTATTCTTTAAATTTTGCAACTTAAAATTTTTAGTTCTTATATTTAATCATTAGTAATTGAAAGTAGATGTTCTCCTAATGTGAGATAAAATTATTGTTTTTTATTTAAGTATTGTGACAAAAATAAAATAAATAGAAGTATATGGAGCAAAATATTAAAAAATGCGAAATACATATATAATTTAACAAAATCAAAAATAAAAAATGATTATAGTAAACATTAAAGAATCATTACTTAATCTTGACTTGGTAGTTGAGATTCAACTGTTCAAATGATTTTGGTTAATTGAATGCTTAATTTCTAACGTTGAAAAAAAACGTTGACCGATTAATAAACAATACTACATATCATTATGTCAAAAAGAAAAAAAAGAGAGAGAGAGAGAGAATACTACATATCATACTTTTTAATCTCTTGATACATTAAAGGCTTTGTATTTTGTCAATTCTTATTATTATTTTTTTTTATATCGTCAATTCTTATTCAATTGACGAAATATAGTTGATTTAAAATTTAGTATCGTTGAAATCTTGCCACCTTTATTCATTTACTTTAAAATAAAATAAAAACCCTTTAATTTTCAAAATAGTAGGTTATCAAGGCAAACAATGATAAAAAGTTTGGAAACTCAAAACAAAATATGAGCCAAAATTCAGGAAACCCAACAAAATAAAATTCTAATCTTGACATGATAATGTAATATGCATAACATAAATGTATGAAGATGTTGTTATTCAATATTCTTAACCGATGTTTTAAATGTTGATGTCGATTTTATAGAAATGACAATAAAAATATCAATAAAATATCAATTTCGATCGATATTTCTAAAAGTTTATAAAAATAAAAAGTTCATAACAAATATTTAAATAATTCACACTTCTTAAATAAGTTAAAAATTATTAATATTAATATTATGTTGATATTTTTTATATTTCGTCAAAAAATTTTTTTGAGAAAATATTGATTCACTCTTCATATCGATGTAATATATTGAAATACCTACGTATGGATGAAATTTTTTTCTTTTTTTAGACAACCGACGTATCAACGAAAAATTTAATACCTGTAAAATGATACTTTTAGGATGATCAAAATCCCAAAAGGGAAACTAGGCAAAATAGATTTTGGCTAAAATTGAGCACATTAGAAATAAGTTATTAATGCAAGGATTTCCATCTTTCTTTTCATCTAGAAATATGAAAAGAACAATCCCTCCCTTCCACCTCCCAAAAAGAGGAGATAAAATAACTAAAATTACAAAGCTAAGATGGGAAACTGAATATAAAATCTAAATGACAATGTGGGCAACCTGGGCTTTGCATCTCACAGCATTCTGTGACCAAGAATGGAAGTGAAAACATCAAAAATTAACTTACATCAATTACGTAGAAATCCGTGGAACGGTTTCATCGAAATATATAGCTTCCAACTCTGAAGGGTCAGCATCGGCACGGTGTTGAGAACCCGGAATGCAGGTCGGGTCAGTAAACATTACATGATGGATAACATAAAGGCTACATTTTCGTTTACCAACTCTTTGTCAGTCTTTGCTTTCATTGATGTTACCAGTTTCAAGACAGAGGCAAAACTTTTTGTCGCTGATCGTTACTAAGGGTCATGACTGCTGAAGTTACCATTGCCTGGGATGTCTTCACCGACGGTGGGATCGAAGATTTCGCAACTTTATTGTTGAGTTGGCCCAGATGAGTTTGAGTCTCAGTTCTAGAAGCCGTAGTGCCATTGTTGAATTGTTGTTCTTGATTACCTACTTCATTTCTGGCTAAAGATGAACACTGTGTCTCTGTCATGCACAAGGAAATAGCAGGCATCAGCAGTTTTAAGGGTAAAAAAACAAGGAAATATTTGCATTCTATTGTACCAGAAAATGAACATCTGATCTGATTACAGTGCAATGCAACTGTTATTATTCTTCTATATCTGAAAAATCATGGCGGATTACGGAGTAAAATAGCGAATTCAACCTTCATATTACACCCATGACATGTAAAAGATGCATAATGATAAATAAGTTTGATGTTTGATCCTTTTTAAGTGCTTCCCTAACAATCACTTAGGCCAAAAGTGATTGTTATCAGACTATAGACAATCTATCTGTCTTGAGATTGGGGGGTTCATTGTCATCAGACTCGACGAATCAATTATTCAGGAAGCAAAATCAAATAAATTTTAGTGAATTTAGTTAAGATAAACAGAAAACGTATTGCAAGTAGTTCTTCAATATTTCATTTTCTAGGAGTTTTCTCCACAGTGAGAATTTCAAACCTTTAACCATGCTTACTGGTTATCAAGATTAAAGGAGAAACATACATTCAAACTTACCTTTTATTTCTCCCAAAGTGATGAGTCGATTAAGACAATCCCGAAACTTCGTAAGGATGATCCTCTCCTGCTCTGCATAGACCTCTGACATGTCTTGTCTGTGAGGCAGTTGTGAAGAAGTGCTGCAGCCTGGACCCATTAATCTATTGGGGGAAGCAGCAGCCATTAATATTGTATCTTGCTCGTCACACATCAAAGCTAAAGTTCCAGGAGACATGGGTGCAGCTTTCGACACATCTCCACCATCTGAATTGGAGTCATCAGGAGTGGTTTTATCGGCCTGGTTTGCACTCGAACGATCATCAGCTGCAGCTTTCTCATCGGATACATTTTTTTTCTGCAACCTATCTTGAGTGGATGAAGCAACAGAAGCTTCCGTCTGACAGTCAGCTTGCTTTTCTGTAGCATTTCTTTGATCTGAATAGTGGGGGAAAAAAAGTTTTCGAAAGGTCCATTTATCAAGCTTCTGCAAAACTTCTTAAAAGACCGAACCAAAGATCTACGAATTGAGTGAAAAAGAAATAAATAAGATTAGAGGATAAAATCATATTACCTTGAAATGTCTTGGCAGCTTCACTTGACAGCACAACCAAAACAGAGCAAAGATCCTTCAAATCTTGCGATTGAATGATGTCTGCCATTAAAGACCTTCAACAATTACACACATATCAGTCCCAAGTCCAAGCATATGACCAACATTACATTGAATCGAAGTGATATACCTATATGTAAACTTTGAAGGACCCAACAATGATGGGGTTCCAACACCAGGAACAGGGAAAGACGATAGCGAAGGAGCAGAGGTTCTGATATGATTTGCCTGCTAAGTACAGTTTACAGCATTATGATTAGTGCAAGAGTAGTCCAGTTAACACAGAGTTTATTGAGGAAAAACATTATAATGTTATCTTTTCTTTGCCTTATATTCTTAGCATATTCCTGCATAAAATTAATTATCGTATATTATAGTAAAGAATCAGGTCCACCTGTTGAAATGGCACTGGTCTATGAGTGGATAGATCCTTGGCTGTCGGTCCAAAGTAGAGTTCTTGACCTTTTCTTTTTTTGGATACTGGAGGTGAAGCATAGCCAGAGGACCCAATTGCCCCAGTTATGGCAGCATTAGCTGCCTGTTGAATGAATGCCATGTTGTTACCATGGTCTCCATGGAAAAGAGCTTGTCTCTCTTCACTTCCCTCGAAATTCTTGCAGTCCATGCATTTACAATTTTCCGAGCAGAGAATGTTGGCCTGGAAACACTCACAATATTTTTTTAGACAACCCGATTTCTTGCAGTGGCATCCCTTGTTGTGCTTACCCAACATCAGCAACTCCCCCGCTTCCTCCTACATGAACTCAAAACAATCCATCAAGCATATCATCGACAAGTTCCACAGCACATATGTATACATATTTGATGTTATGCCATCTTCATCCATAACCATGTGTACATACTCAATCCAATACCACATCATCTAATCTATCGTATATAACCAGAAGTACAAAAGATTTTAAGTGGTAAAAACTGCAGGGGTTGTGCAAGCAAATGATACCATGCCATCTCATATATGTTTTTTTTCTTTCCTATAGTGGATGCATAAAAGATATTAAGTAGTCAAAACCCATGGGATTGCATAATAATTCTCATAGCTAACAACTCAAGTAAAGGCAAAATTACTGCTTCAGAAAATTAAATAATCAACAGCAACCTGTAATACAAGCCAGAACAAAAGGTATAACCCTTGTTATTTAAAAGAATGTCATACCCTATTGTCCCGCATCCCATGGGGACTGCTTGCAATTTTTGGTCGAAATGCATTTGGATTACGCTCTAATGTGGCTTCAACTGCTTCTCTTCGAGCAGCATCATTTTCAACATTGTTATAACAATTTATGCAGTTGCAACCATCACAGTATATTCCAGAAGCAAAGCATTCACAATACCTGCTCAAGTTGGTGGGATAGTTAACTTCTTTTGCAAAGCGGTGGGCAAGTTACTTAAATAAAGATATTTGACAGCAATAGATTCAAAATGATTTATAAACAAGGACACCAGGGGATGCTTCGCGAACAAAAAGAACATGTGGATGAAGCTGGAGAGAATTTATAATATCCGAAATGGTATGCTTGACCAAAACTGAGAAAGTTAGTTTGCCCTGAAACCTCCAAAAGTTGCATATATGATATAAAGACAAATAGTATTGTCGAGGACTGAAACCTATAACCAAACCAAGAATCATAGTACAGAGAAACAAAATTCAAAACACCAACTTATTTAAAGAAATAAATTGATATAAGATGGCTAAATGAAAGAGAACGTTTTCAAGCACCTAATAGCTTTTTCTACCATGAAAATGTGCACATAAATTCCACAGTAGAGCAGAAGAATGTAAATAATGTCAAAGAAGCTCAAAATACCGTGAACTTACAATTTTAGACATCGCGAATGTTTACAGTTACACTGTTTTTGCTTCTTAGGAGTACTATCTTTAGCTTCGGCAGCAGGTCTTGCTCTTGACATTGGTGATTCTGGTTTCCTATTTAAGAAAAATGTACCGTCAATATCAACAAGATGGCTGAAAGTATCAACTGAACAATTTTTAATAGCGTGTATAAAAATTTAAGAGATGAGGAACAGCAACGTTAAGACCCACAAATCTCTCTACATACAACAACTTCACATTTCAAATCAATATCTCAGATAAAACCGTACATCTTTCAGTGAATTCACAAGCTAAAGCCTCCAGTAGAGAGATTTCACATGGACTGAAGCGAATTATGCAATATCTCAGGATGCTCAAAACACGAAAAGTGTTTTGATGAGTTCTCTTTAGACCAAACCTTCCATGGCAACAGCTCCGATGGCTTAAAGATTCTTATTCTATTGTAAGATTGAACATTAAATTAAGCAAACAAGATTGCGTAGACTTACACAGCTCTTACTGACGAATTAGGCGCCAGAGGTGCGATCGACGCCGCCGCCATCTGCGCCTGTAGCTTCGGCTGAGCTTGCGGAAGACTCTGAGCAACTAATGAAGCCGGTGACTGTGAATGCGAGTTTGTATGAGATTGAGGATGCGACGCCCCTCCAAAGCCGGTGAAATCGAGCTGCCGAGCGAGCTTCTTAGACGGAATATCCGATGACGATGAGTTACTCAACGCCGCACCATCTGATTGAGCCTTCTTCTGAGGCGCACCCGCGGTATCTTCTTCCCCCATCAAATTCAAATCCCAAATTTCAATAATTTAGCCACTATTCCAGATTTTCCGAAAAGAAAAAATCAAACACCTCCTCTATCGAAAACGAAATTTTCGAAGCGAACTTGAAATCGTCCAGCTTCCGGATCCAAATATCAATCGAAATACCGCCAAATAAAATTCCAATACCAAATTAAAAAAAAATACTTTTGTAGCTCAAATATTACACCGAAACTCAGCAACCGGAAACCGAAATCAGAAAGACATTCGCCCACGCCTAAAACAATCACAGAGGAAGCAAAAACGACAGCAAAAAAATAAATTATTTAGGGTTTTCGAACTGTGAATTGAAGATAGCTTCGAATGAAAGAGGAAGGATAGGAGCGAAAAAGGCCTTTTGTTGTTCTTCTTTCCTCCCTCTCTCTTCCGAGATTTTGAAATTTCAATTTTGTAAATATTGAACGGTGCGATTAAGGCCTGTGGTTAAATCTAACGGTGAAAACAATACGATATGATCCAACGGCGAGAATTCATAGAAGCGAGTGTCGTGTAGATCTTTGCCCGTCGGATTCCGAAGGCTGTAGATTTTCAACAAAATTGTCGAGGCCAAGGATCCGGTATTTCCACATCCAAATACAAGAGCCCATAGTATTTCGCCACGTATAAAGTACCCCACAGGATAGAACTCGACAGACACGTGGTCGTAAATTATTGGCTAAATCAGGTGGGAAAGTGTGTGGAAAAAGGAGGGAATTAGTCCAAGATTCCATTCAATAAAGAAATGAAATAAAACAAAATTGGCGCTAAATAGACTATCAGAAGTTGTTGGACACTCTAATAATTTTATTAATTAATCATTTCAAAATTTAAACTTTTTTCCATCTTAATGATTCAATATGTTCAATTAGTTAGGTTAATGATCGAATCTTAATCTCCAATCTGTTAAATTAGAAAAATTAATAAATTCACGATCTTTTATTTTCAACAATAAAATTACCAAATGGTTCCTTACCAAAAAAAAACAAAAAAACAAAATAAATCCATAAAATGCTATTTTTATCATCAAAATTGCATTTTAGTGGGTAAAGGATATGTTTCCTTATATTTGAACATGAATTTTGAATAAATATTAAGATGAGATTGCGAACATAATTTTAACCTGTCCCTGACAATTAAGTTATGAATTCAAATCCCACACCTTTACTTGTTCTAAAAAAATATATATATATTAAGATGAGATTAAGTAATTTTTATTTTGTTTTTAAATATTTTTCTTTACTAATTTGATGAAAAATACTAAGACTCGTATTGTGCATTTAGTTTTTACTCATATTTTTAATATATTAGGATTACTTAAATAAATCATCTCCTTAATCTATTTGATTCAACCTTATGGTAAGTGAAACAAATTTAATGTAAAAACAAAGTTCAACTTTGAAAGTAATGGCCAAACCGAGCATAACTCAAGTGGTTAAGACACCTATCTCTAACCAAGAGATCATGAGTTTGAACCTCACCCCCATGTTGTATAAAAAAAAAACTTTCGAAAGTAATTGATTAATTGAACAAGTGGATTCTTTGAAAGTAGTGTTTAAAAATAAAAATTAATTTCTCTGTTTTGTCAAAAAATCAAATCAAATTCCTTAATAACTGTCAAAACAAATGAGAAACAAAAATAATATTTTAGTGTTGCATATGTTTGATTTTTTGGTCAACTATCTACATGTGAATAAAAAAAAATACATTTACAAACAATCTTTATTATTAGAAACAATAGAAAAATAATTTTTAAAAACTAGTTCACAAAACTATTTTTTAAATCAATTTTAGTAAGTCTAGCGCTTTGAGTGCATATAACATATATTTTCTGTATAAAAAAAATACACTTATTTCCTTCACAAAAACGTATATCATAGAATCCTAAGTTTGACCAATTTCATTAAATATAGGCTCGGTTCTCGATCCCAATTTATACAAGTTCAACATGTAAGTCAAATAATCCCTAGTTAATGATACGAGATACTTAGACAATTAGGGTATGTTTGGTAATTCTATATTACATAAATGGTTACCAAACACTTACAATTCTAAAAATTTGAAAACGAAAAATGAGAAACGGGAACTGAAAATGTTCCAACTTCTAAGCAGCTCCCACTACACTGATATCTTACCCTGCCAGCATCAGAAAGTAATCTGACAATGTAGTAGCATATACTTGAAAATGTAAATCCACTCCCAAGCAAAATCAAAGCATAAAAGCAAGACAAGGAACCACAGCCATGGCCGATTTGGCAGACACAAAAGCAAGACTTGAGGTCCTTGGAAAAAAAGATGAAGGGGAGGGAAACTCACATCTTTGATTGTGCAAATTTACATAAATTACAGTAACAGACACAACATTCTTTGTAGAATGATCATTCCGACATCAGAGTTCTCCAAACTTTTGGTGTTTTAAGTACAAGCAGCGATAACAGTATCGTAGGACAATAAATAACCTGACAAGGATTCAGACACGACGTCCTTCAAGAATGGTATTGAAATATATGATTGTTTCGGCATCTAAATTCTCCAAGCTTTTGGCATTTCAAGTATGAGGGGTGATAATGGTATTCTAGGATAAGACATGGCCTGATCAGGATTCAAGATGTATCAAGGAAACTTTTCCTTGTAAGTAATAAGTAATGACTAAATTGAAACAAAGTATAGTTTCAAACATATAAGAGTACCTCAATCCCCATAGTTCAATGGAATCGTATGGAGTAACCGGTGGCGCTGGTGGTAACATTCATGGGTTCAAGATCATCCATATCAGAATCCGACTCGTCATAGTCGTACCATCCCGCAGGAGAATGCTCATCCTGTACACTTCTGGTTGAAGGAACATGAAGCTCAGACAAGGGAATAGGAAGTGGCTCCTCAGTGAAATACTTGTCCTGAAGCAATTCCATAGCAGTTGCTCGATTAGCCGGGTCGTAACAAAGAAGTCTTTTAACGATAGAAATCTCGTCGGGAGAACAGTTGGGAAGACATGCTTCTAGACCGATTGGCTGCTCTATTTTGTTGAATGATATAATTTGAAAATCAGGTAGTTCGGAACAACCTGGCCAGGAATCTTCAGTCAAGTTGCCTAGAACACTGAAAATTTTGCTTAGTTGATCAATGTCAGCTGTTCCTGGGAAAAGGGGTTCCAATGTAAGAAGCTCTGCAAAAATGCAGCCCAATGACCATAAGTCAATCTCCAAGCCGTAGTTCGTAGATCCATAGAGTAATTCGGGGGCCCTAAACCAGCGAGTCCCAACACAAGACGTGAGAGAACCCTGACCATCATCAGCTGGAACTTCCCCATCCATTTCATAAGAATATGATGAACCTTTAAATGGATCATCTTCTAGGTCACTCGTGGTGCATGTTGCTAAGCAAGATGTATCTCCATCATAAGTATATGTTTCCTTATCAAATTCATTTGCTAAATTTTTCACTTTCACCTCGTCTAATACTCTAAAATACTCCTCTTTGCTAACTGGTTCTTGCTCCCCAGTTCTGTTATCTCCTCGAACCGAGATTTCTGTTCCGGGAAAAATTGCAGATGGCTGAGAAGCAGGTACTTGATCTGAAGAGTTCACCTCAGATGGTTCCGGGATCTCATTGGATTCAACATATCCAGGCTCCATGAGTATTCTTGCCTGAAACCAATATCAAACTCAACTCCTTGGAAATCAAAGTATAAAGGAAATGAGAAGTGTCAATGTCCAGAAATCTACAATGTCAAGTACCATTCAGGATCATGAATAAAACCTTCAGCTATAATTTGGTACTATCAAAAACCTTCGACATGAACTTTCCAATGTTGAAAAGAAAACTGATGCTTGCTACATTTAATCAAAATTTCAGATTACCTCTCAAAATTCTGTAATGAACATTCAAACAAAGTGACAAACATAAAGTTAGAAAGGTCCATCCTGCAACAAATGAGTTTTATGGAATGTTCTCTGAAGTTCCCCACAAAAACCAGCTAAATTAGAGGAACAGAGTATCAAGAAACTCCACATTCGATTTTCTTCCCATTACTTCCGACTTCTCGTCATCTAAACAGATTGATGAAACATGCACGACTGTAATTATATGCACGAAGCTCATTGCTCGCGGATCTTATTCAAAAAGAAACGTAAAAGAGAATCACCTGTCCAAAATCGGCAAGCTTGAGCACGCCATCGTCGGAGATCAACAAATTGCTAGGCTTCAAATCCCTGTGGACGAACATATTCCCATGACAAGCATCAAGACCACTTAAAATCTGGATCATCCAACGCTTCACCTCCCCAGCCGCGAGCCCACGCCCGGAATCTACCCCGCCCGATCCTCGCTTCTTCGCCTCCGCTATAACCGTGGCCAAATCCGTTTTCAGAAACTCGAGAACAAGCACGGCGTCCTCATCCTCGCGCCAAAAGTACTCATGCAAAACGACGATATTCGGCAAACCTTGTAAAATTTGTAGCGCCTCAATTTCGCGGAAGGCGGACTGATAATCGTGGATCTCCTTCAACGCAACGATGACCCCGTCGGAGAGCCGCCGCGCACGGTGGACATCCGAATATGCGCCGGATCCGACCCGCTCGAGGATCTGGTACTTCTGGATGATCTCCGGGCGGGTGTGGATGCTCCAACACTTGGCCGGAGGAGAGTCCATTTGCGAACAATTTGGGGTCTGTGTTCTAGGGTTTTGTAGATAGGGGTTATCAAAATTCCTCACAGTTACAGTTAATTTTGCCCGGAGGTGAAAAAGGAGGATCGCCGGCCGGTGAACAACCCAAGCCGCATCAGAATGGCGCCGTGAATAATATATTCATTTTCCGGATATTTTTATAAATTGAAAGCTTTGATAGTTTTTTTTTTTTTTTAACAGTACAAATTATTTAAAATTACAAATCTAGTTAGGATCTTTTATTTAGGTTTAAATCCTACTTTCTTACTTATGAAATGTAAAATTACAAAATCCTTAAAGTGATAGGGAAGAAACCGTCTCTCTAGCTGATCCTACTAATGAAATTTTGACTAAAATATTTTTTTTTGGCTACATTACCTTTTAAAAGTAACATGTAAATATAATATTTTTATTACATAAACACATAAGTAATATAAATTACCTGGCATATACTCAATTATCTCTAAGAACCAAAGATAAAAATATAAACATTTTGAAACTTAGAGACAAAATAGAAATTAATCTCAAAACTCAAGAGTGAAAGTTTAATATTTTGAAACGTACAATATGGATCAAATAGAAACTAAACTAATGACAAAAAAGTATTTTACTCAAAATTCAAAATTTATAGTGTAATGTTGTACTTAAAGTGTAAATTACTCCCCACGAGGGATTGAGACATAAAAAGTTTGAATTAATTTCAGTTCCCAAATTTTCAAAAAAAAAAATTCATTTTTGGTTAATGGACGTAATATATATATATATATATATAGTTTTGATTTTAACAAATGCTTTCGTTGCTTCAAGCAGAGCATGTATGAGAATCCTATAAACTATCATGTGTATATTAAATAAGCGAATATTTGAAAAATAAAAGTAATAATCAAAATAGTTATTTATAAAGTGAAATTGAGAACTACAAAACAACTCATAGTTGAAACATTGACTCCCAAACAGTTCCTACTGCCTTTACACACCCTTACAGGAATCAGAAATCAGAAACCAGGAAGATGGGATAAAACCTGCAGCACAAACTGTTGAGATCCACTTTTCATGATTTTACAGTACAACAGAGGGACCCTCTGCATTCAAACCAGTTGAACCAAACATGACCCATTTTTGGATTTTGGGAGTTGAAGTTGCTCACTCATTGATGTAATTAACCTCCAACTGTAAAAAAGAAAAGCAAAATCTTCCAATGGCAAAGGAATCCATGGAAGGTATATCAAGGACCAACTCGACCACGAAAAAAAACAACCATCCACTGAATGTTAGTCATGGCAGTCTCCATATAGGTTGAGTTTCTGTATTACGTAGCCTTATGATCGAGCTATCAGACAAGATTCATCATCTTAACTACCGATGTTTTCGTATCATAATCGACGTGCCATTATAGAAATGAATGAAAACAGATCGAGAACTTAATAACAAAATGCTACAATATATATACCCTGCCTCAGTTCTCGAGAGAATGAACAGTTCCCTCCAATTTTCAAGTTGTGGTTAAAATGTGGAGATTCAGATACCCTCCTCCCTCTATCACTACAATTTAAGCTAATGTAGGCACAAAACAGATTAACACATACATAGAGAGGTGTGTTTGGCTGTTGGGGAGACAGCAGCTTTACCCGTCACGGAGCACAGCCTCCACAAATCGGATTACTCTCACTCCAAGCTTGCACCGCGACATGTTCTAGACTGCTAGGCAGCACAGCCTCCACAAATGATGCTCCTGCTATAGTTTTATACATATTAGTAACAAGATTATATAACTTTGTAATGGTGAGAGTAGGAAGCAGGGGGTAAAGTAGGAAGCAGGGGGTTACTTACGCAAACGAGCAGGCAGATCCTCGGCGCCTTTTCTTTCTTGTGACCTCTCTTCTCCTTGGAGGTTGCAGAACAACCTTAATGGCAGTATCAAATACAGCTTTGACATTCTGAGAAATCAACCACAAGAGAACCACTGAAAATTAGCTTCAAAATAGCACTAAAAATCACCAAAAAAGTTGAAAACAACTTTATATGATGTTCTGCTACCTGCTGTGTCTTAGAACTGCACTCAATGTAAGCTGAAGCACCAATTTGTTTTCTCAGCTCCTCACCCTGCTTGTGCGCATTACATCACAGACAGTTCACATTGCAAAAGAATATGCAAGGATCGCAGAAGCAAACCTGAGAAGATGTAATGATATCATATCCCATCTGTTCATTTGCATATCGTCGGTCCTCACGGAGATCTAAAACAAATGGAGATGAACTTCCTTCACATTGTTCGTTGATTTACTCAAATGGGCATTAGTATAATGAAATGCAACATCAAATGATTGATAAACTTCTGTAGTTACCTACCGAGCTTCGTTCCAACTAGAATGATTGGAACATTGGGTGCAAATCTACGCAGTTCGGGCATCCACTGAGAAGTGAAACGAATGCAGTATGGTTAAAAATTACACTAGAATCAAACAAAGGAATACAGTTCTTTGTTTCTCAAGTTGGGTTGTGGGTGGGTCTGTTTCTCAAGTTGGTTTTAGTGTCAGATTTCAAATTTTCTTAAACCAATAGATCACTAAATTTGGTCAAAAACTAAGCTAAACCGACCCTAATACGAAGGTTCCTACTTTATTCTCAAATCAGTACCTTCTTAAGGATATTTTCATAGCTGGCTCTACTAATTAATGAGAAAGCTAGTACAAAGACATCTGCACCTCTGTAACTCAAAGGCCTCAGCCTGCTATAATCTTCCTGGCCTGCAAAACAGAGGACAAATAATCAATGGAACTCAGTCGGATTGATAAAAGCCTGATTCTGATGCTAATTCATCAATGAAATCAGAAAGAAAGCCCCTCTTATTGAAGGAGACCAAATATACCTGCAGTGTCCCATAATCCCAAATTGACAATGTTCCCATCCACAGCTACATTGGCACTGAAATTGTCAAACACTGTGGGAACATAATCCTGCCAGACAAACCACCAATGTTGAGAGAGATCTCCATTTTCAACTGTTTGAGCTTAGTTTTTTGTATTTGCAGCTCATAATTATTTAAAAAAAAACATAAAATGGGCAAAAATAACTAATGCGAAGAGAGAGAGAGAGAGAGCGCTCCATTTTCAACTGCTCGAGCTTAGTGTTTATGTATTGCAGCTCATATATAAAGAAAATTTGAGAGAAAATAAATAATGTTGATAGAGAGAGAGAGCTTGATTTTCACTTCTTTATCTAAAAAGAGCTTGATTTTCACCTGCTCAAGCTTAGTGCTTGTGTTATGGTAGCTCATATTCAAAGAAAAGAAAACAAAATCGGAAAGAACCACTTGTTTAGAGAGAGAGAACTTAGTGTTTATGTACTTCCAACTCGTATTTAAAGAAGATAAGAGAAAATGGGAGAAAATCTCCAATATTGAGAGAGAGAGAGAGAGAGAGAGAGAGAGAGAGAGAGAGAGCTCTATTTTCAATTTCAACTTCTCAAGCTGTGTGTTTAAGTTCTTGCAGCTCACATTTAAAGAAAATGGGAGAAAATTACCAGTGTTGAGACTTGAGAGAGAGAGAGAGAGAGAGAGATCCATTTTCAACTGTCAAGCTTAGTGTTTACGTAACTCCATCCCATGTTTTAAAGTAAACAAGATGGAAAAAGAAACACTAATGCTAAGAGAGATAGAGAACTCCATTTTCAACTGCTCAACCTTAGTGTTATGCATTTGCAGGCTGCAGCTCAAAAGTCAGAATTTTAACAAAATGGAAGGAAAAAACTCCATGAAAAGGGGTATTAACCAATCTTAGAATCCAGGGAACAAACTCAAAGTCTGACAGATTAACCATGAAAGAACCCAAAATGAAACATAAAGAACAACTTCGAAAGAGGCCTCACTCACAGTGGGGAACTTGTTGCTGGTGTAGCATATGAGCATGCAGGTCTTCCCAACAGCTCCATCTCCAACAGTGACGCATTTAATGAACTTCGAAGCGCTCATCCTCAAAATGCCCAAAAGGATACCCCCCAAATTCCTCTTTACAAGTACAGATTGGGTAAAGTAAAGAGAATCAAACGTGGAAGAAGAATCAGAAGCAGCGTTTCGATGCCCTAATGGCGGCCAGAGGAATCGAAGAGGGGAAATTAGCAGCAATGGCGGAAATGGAAAACGTTTTTGGTTTGTAGTCAAAAGGGGCTTTTACTCTTCACTGAACTTTCTTCATCTCGTCCCTCTCGATACCTTTCAAATCTCAGAGACAAAAGTTTCGAAATGCACAAAACGAGACTCTCTCTCTCTCTCTCTCTCTCCTTTTTCTCTCTGGAATGGTACCTGAGATGGCTGGGATGGGTCCCTCTGGTTCCTGTCGCTGCTGCCATTAATGGCCTCCAACCGTACAATTCGAGCTCTTGAATGGTAGATTTTATCGCTTTGCACTCTCACTCTCCTTCCTCTGTGTGCCATTGGCCTTGGGCTCTGTAAAATATTGTCTAATTGCATAACATTTTTATTAAAATATTAATGTTTGAACTTTATTTTGAAAAAAAGTATGTGGTAATACTGGTATAATATATTATAGGTTTGTTTCAAAAAAAAWATATATATATATATATATATTATAGGTTAAAATTCCTTTTTTTTTCCTCTATTGTATCGTCCGTTCCACTTTCCGTTTATTTTAGTCCACTTTCACTTTCAATTTATTTTTATTGTATGTGTTTTCAAAATACCGGTTTGTTTCTTGTATTTTAAAAAGCGACCCTTTTATTTGATTTTCTAATTTTTTTAATTTTATTTTTCTATCACAATTTCAACCTAACAATATATTCAATATATTTCTTAAGATGACTTCATATCGAATACGTATATAACTTACGTAAAAATTATACAAATAATGATTAAAATTATTACTGTTTGAAAGTATGGGACCAAAATCAATTCTTTAAAAGTATAGGGACTAAAACGAACGAAAGTTTAAAGTACGGGAACCATAATGAATAATTTAAAATATAGAGATCAAAATAAACCAAAGTCAAAAATTCAAAATAATCTATATTATACATGTGATTCGCCTTTCCCTTTTTCCTTAGTTTAATGTAAGGGTGGATATTCCAACCCGTCTGACATATTTATCAAAAATATATACTGGACTATGGCATGGACTGAAAGTTGGCTCTTTTTAGTTTGCTTCTAGAAAAAGATTTGAACCTTTTTTCGTTGTTTGGTTAACATAAGGATTTTAATCTATAATCTATTAGAAGAAGAAAATGTGTAAGAGACGAATAATTTGAAACTTTAAAGTATGATTTTTTTTCCAGCAATTTGGGGTTTTTTTTTCCAATAAGTTGTTACACTTCTCATTTTTTACGATAAATACGAGCTTTTGTTGTTAGAAGGAGGAGTAGAAACACGTCGCTCATGACCTCTTCATCATAAGGTCATAGATAAATATCAATTATTACTAGTTAAACCCATGCATCTTGACATAATTTTATACCCACTTATATCACAAAAGAAAAATTAGAGAAATAAGGCAGACAAAAGAAGATTAAAGGTTTGTATATTAATTTGAAACGACTTTATTTATCAACTCAAACATAACTAAATTGGTTAAGATAGCGTTATAATTTAATTGGTTAAGACAATGAAGGGTTTGAGGTTCCAATCGCATTCTCTAGCTAATTGCTTGTATAATATATAATTGTGCTTCATTGGTATGGATGGAAGATTGCCTAAGAAAACATTTAATAATTTATCTTCACTTCCTTTAGAGCATAAGGTTGTAAAATGGCAACAATTAGTTATTTTTAATCCAATTTGATGAGTCCTCTATGTTACCATAATAATTTTTCAAATCTTAAAAAAAAATATCAAAATCAAAAGAAATCATGTAATATTTTTACCATCTTATCTAATTTTTTTATTGTCAAACTAAGCATGACTCAACTAGCTAAAATATTTATCTCCTATTAAAAAGTCGTGAATTCGAATTCTTACTATTTTTATCATGGTGTGAGTATTCAGCATTTCAATTTAAATAATCAATTCATATTTCATACATTGATTTATATTCAAATTGACAACATGATAATAAAATTAAAAGTTTGAATTTCTAAGATTATTAGACAATATTTTTTGAGGTTGGTGACACCGTCAATTAATTATCTTCCTTTGAGTGTTCGAATAAATGTGACCGTTGGGTAAATTGGCCGACATGTCTAGCTTATTTTAAATGCTCCAGGTGATTCATGAACAAACCATTTTAAATACAGATCTTGTTTTTATTTGATGTGACATATGAAAAATTATTTAACAAGAGTTTCCTAAGGGCATGGTTCATTGATGATTTTTGAAAAAGCACCACAAAACAACATAAAATGACTAAATCTTATGTCGTCATTTTGAATATAAGAATTAAGAACATTTTTAAAAAAATTAGGAAAATCTCGCTCTTTTGAAGTTATATAATTAAATGAACAACATTTAATCTTAAAAATTTAGTTTCATTAAAATAAGTTTTCAATGATCCTCTRTGATTCATCCAAACACAATGCATGTTGATAAAACACCTTGATACTATTATAAAAGTTGAAAGTTCAATCCTTGTTATGCAAATATTAAACTAAAAAATATATATATCAAACTATGTTCCTACGTACCTCATTCTTTTGGTAATGCAATGAGTGATTAGAATTTGAATCTCAAACTTTTAGATAGGTTATCAGTGTCTTCCTTAGTGGTGATATGGGCGTTAAATACATTTATTTGAATCGGATGCGGTGAATACTTCACATATTAATTAATCAAAAATAGAAATTATCATGAATAAGTCTGTTCCTCACATTTTAACATATTTTCGGTTAGTGATGAAATTTTTAAAATACATATGCATTTGATCAATATAGTTATTTTTGCCATCATCTATTAAGGGATGGGTGACGTTGATTAACATGATGATATGAACATGTATTTATTTTGTATTTTTTAGTATAACATGCAGGGATGTGGAGTTGAACGTCCACACCTTTTTAACTAGTTGAGTTGTACTCATATTATATAAACATCATATTATATAAACATGTATTAGAGTCACACAAATTAACTAAAGTGGGTATTGTAATAGACAATATTTGACAACAAAATATTCGGTAAGAATAATTTCTGTTTTATAAAAGTAAAATACCAATATATACCTTTCAAAAGCTTGTAAAACAAAACAAAATAATATACGAAGACTTAGAACTAAAATTGAATTTAAACCCAATATTTAATCTGTTAGATTGGGCTAAATCATAGTTTGTTTTTACTTTTCCACCAATGTTCAAAAGTTTTAGCTTTGGTCACAATATTTTAAATTTGATTCCAAAACATATATTGTTAGCAATTTTTATATAAAATACCTAATGAAGTTTTAATTTTTGAAGTAAAATTTAAACTTCCAAAACTTCATAAAAAAATTGAAATCTAGAAACTATCTGCCTGGCATATTTTGCATAATTTGTTTGGTCTAAAATTTGTCCTTAACATACATAACTTGTTTAGTTTTACCCTAAGTTCAAATTATAATGAAATTTGGTTACAAAAGGTTTTATTTATAACCAATTAAAAATGGACTTTTTTTTAATATGGCAGAAAAAACTAAGTATTTAAATGTAATTATTTCAAAACTAATTTTTATATTAGATTTGAATTTTTTAACTAGTTAATTAAATTTAGTTTAAAATTGGATTAAACTAAATAATATTTAAACATCTATAGATTAATTAAATAATTAGTCTATAAATTTAGTTTAAATTAGATTTAGATTTGTTTAACAAAGTCTTACTTCTTTTTTTTTTTGGAAGGGAAAGTCTTACTTGTTGCTAGTGTGGGAGATGTTATATTTGAAATTTTTAAAATTAAAATATTAAAAAAATTAGTTTTGAAATAATTATATTTAAATAATGATTTTTTTAAATAAAAGAAAAATCAAATTATCAAAGTGAGCAGGAGAATCCAGAGGTTGTGAGTTCATACCAGAAAAGGAAAATCTAATTAAAAAGTTAAAAAGGTAAACTTGAATTCATCATTTTATTATTTCACCTTTTATTAAAAAAAAAAAGGAAAAGAAAGAAGAATTTCACCTTTAAATTCTCAATTATCTTTATTGGGCGAAAAGGAACGACACTCTTTACCATCAAAGAATCAAAGATGACATGTCGTCACTCGTCGACTGGCACGGAACGGAATATTCTGAAAGGTTAATCGGCTAAATTAGGGTTACCAAAAAGGATTCAGCAAAGTCCATTTGAATCTTCTGTTTGAATTCAAGGATTCTCTCACAGAAGCATGAAGCTCAAGCAATTAGAATCCCTACTCGGTGAAATTCAACAGTTCTCAAATCCAAAGGTATGATTTCTTCTGCAATTATTGCTCGTTTCTTCATGTCGTTCGAAGTTTTGGCTTACGTTGAATCAACTGCCTGAGCAATTACTACTCTGTTTCTGCTGCAGGTGGAGCTGGAGCAATACCCAACTGGACCTCACATTGCTTCTCGCATGTTGTACACTGTATCTCTCTCTCTCTCGTTCACCTTCTCCTTTTGCTTCAACCTCTGTTTTTGTCCCTTTATTTTTCACCTTCTCCTTAAAGGAACTATTGCTTTGTCTATCGAGAGTGCTGTGTGGTCCGATTACTGAGTTATCGGATTTAAAATCGGTCGTTCATGATGATTAATTATAACCATGTTAATGTCCTAACTTACACATTTGTGGATTTCAGATGTCAGGACTTCTTTGATTTTCTTTCTATTAATCGTATTTAACTTCTGAGCTTCTATCTGCTTTACGAGGAGTTGAAAGCATATTGCGTCAGTTATAGTGATAAAACTAGGTTTTAGATTTATTCAATTTTATGTAATCATAATTTGTGCAACATTGGTTTCTCGTTTTAAACCTTATCAGGCAGAGAATTCATTTGGAGATGTGAGTGGCAAGGTGGTGGCGGATTTGGGTTGTGGTTGTGGTACATTAGGAGCTGCAGCTGCACTGTTGGGTGCAGAGTGAGTAGCATCTTTTCCCTGTTCCCGTTCTTCATTTCCTTTTGGTTCACTAATGGTTGACCCTAATCACATTATAAGTTCCAAGATCGAAAGTTATCAATCCGTTACTGGACTATAAGGGAAGCAGATAAAATGTTTTTATTCATCATATATTTAATTTTAAACATACGTAATGCTTTGAGTCTTACAATTTCTTGCCCAGACATGTTACAGGAATTGACATTGATCCCGAGTCTCTTGAAATAGCATCTTCAAATGCAGAGGATCTTGAGGTTGTGTTTTGACTTGACTACCATATGTTGGTTTTATATTGGGATTGGAAAACAATCTATTGTCTTCATTGCATTTGATTAGTCGATCATATAGAAACTTTATATAGAAGCTATATCGTGCTCTCTATCTCTCCCAACTTGAAAATGGTGGCGGGGAGATTATTTTGGGGTCAACTTATGCTTTATTTGTTATTTTATTTGATCTGTTGAAAATTGCAGTTGGAAATGGACTTGGTTCAGTGTGACGTGAAGAACTTGGGATGGAGAGGTAACAAACACCTTGCTGCTTTCAACATTTCTCGTTTTCAGTGTGCATGTGCCTAACCTTTAAAATAGAATATGTAGTGTGTAGTTTTTTGGAAAAGTATGGTTCAATGAAAATTTTATCCTGTCCCTGTAATAGTTAAACAATGTGTGTGTGTGAGAAAATTGCTTTGGCTTAGTTTGATTGAACTGAACAGCATCACTATTTCGCACGAGAAATTTATGATGGCTATCGGTGCCTCGTGTGTTGTGTATTCTTCACTTCTCTTTGAATGAACTTTTTCTGTGGTAGTATACTTTTACTATGGGATAGTGGTTATTTCATACTAATGAGACATGATTGTAATGGAGAGAAGTATACAGTTTGTTGTCTGTTTCAGTTCACGATCTTATTATTAGATCATGGCCACTTTGAGAATTGATTGGTATTATTTACGTTAAAGGTTTACCGAATTCAGGGTATTGCAGTCTTATCTGTTATTTTGCGTGAGTCATTAGCATCTTCGGATGTTTACGTCTTTAGATGTATGGTGATAAAGTGAGTGTTTAGATTCAGTTTTCATTGTTACATAGTTTCATCGGGCATTATTTTATTTGATCCAAGTACATTATTTCCAATTCTGGACATTTATCTGAGCTTCTTTTCTGTATCCATTTGGTCAGGTCAGGTCGTTGATACAATTGTAATGAACCCTCCATTTGGAACACGAAGAAAGGGTGCAGATATGGAATTCCTTTCTGTAGCTTTGAAGGTAATTACAGTTCTGATATCTGACTAAGATGCTCAACTACCTGTTTACAACATTTTTCCATTGATTTGTGTTCTCTGTATCCTTCATGTCCTCTTTCCAGCATGCTTCCAAAGCAGTTTATTCTTTGCACAAGACCTCAACAAGAGATGTAAGTTCATTAGTTCAAACTTCTTTTCCTCACCTTTAATGATTCTGATTTAAATAAGAACTCTGTAAACTGCCACTTGATTGGAGTTTGTATTATTAACCACTTCATGGTTCCTAATGTTGTTGGATAAATAAAGTGAAATGACTATTAACCACTGCTTTAACTTAAAATAACCTAGTCGTAGAGCTCACTTTATATAAAATCTTATGTTTCCATTTCTCCTATTCTTGGAGTCCTCTCTCTATTTGCGTGTTACTATTTTGTAGGCTGTAGGAATTGGATAGGAAGTGTAGACTTGTAATTTGTAAACAGATTGCCAGATGTGGCTTAGTTATGATACCGTCTTTTCCCTTGAAAGCAGCATTTTCTTGTCTCCAAATAAGAGTAGAAATACATACACCACCCCTGTATCTATTGCTGCTCTTTGTAGTTCTTAGAAGTCTATTTTATTTCATTTCTACAGCATATAAAACGGGCAGCTCTGCGGGATTACGGTGCTCAAAGTGCCGAGGTTTTATGTGAGGTGGGTAACTGTTTGTTCTCTATATGAAGCCTACACCATGATCATGTTACCATCTTCATGTCCATTTTTCTGCATCTGAAGGTGCATATGCATGTCGATGTCCAAAGTTCAAATACGATCTTTTTGCAGCAGGCTATTCGTGTTCTTATTATGATTCAGTAATAACACAAATCAACCTCTAGTTCTAATCAAGTCATATGTTCGTTTCCTTGATCCGTTTTTTTTCCTCTTAGCTTCGATATGACGTGCCCCAACTTTACAAATTTCACAAGAGAAAAGAGGTTGACATTGCTGTGGATCTTTGGCGTTTCGTGCCAAGAAGCAACCGAGAAAATACCATTGAAAATCGACCTACATGAAGTTCATGTCCTTTCTCAGACTTGTATACTCTGATCACACCGCAGTCACGATCAATGGGGTGAGAAGCATCAAACAACTCCTACGGTATTTTTTCTGTATTAGAATGTTCATATATTTCTTAGAAATCTGCTAAAAAGTTGTGAAATTTAGTTCTAAGCTCTTGGAAATTCATGCTTCAGTGAAAAAAACAACACTCCACTTATTTTTTTTTTAATTATTAATTTTCCTGGTATTTCAAGTGCTTTCTGTTAATGGAGGTAGAACTTTCTTGGTAACTCTTCTTATGAATTATAGTTGTAATTATTAGAACAGTAACAATAAACTTGGTGAAGAAGCTGACATCTATCACCCGTTCATCATTTGAAAGTTCGATTATTGTCCCTATTTTTTTAGGTAAATAGTACCAAGTCCCTGTCATTAGTAAAAAATGTCAAAAATGTCCTTGACGACAGCTTGGTTGTCAAGGGCTTAGGATTTCTTTGTCGTACTAGCTTACAGGGTTCAAGTTTGAACCTTTCAATGAGATGAACTTAATACAAAAAACTCTTGACGTCTCTTAGGTTTGGGTCTTGAGGCGGGTGTGGGTACAGGTACCTGGTATAAGGGAGAAGAGTAACCAAGGAGAAGTCATGTGGTTGATCTTTTTAATAAAAAGGAAGTAAAATAAGTCTTACTAGGCACTCCAACTAGGTCTTTTCCCTCCAATTAAATTAATGTCCTGAAATTTGACTTAAGTTCATGTTTAATTTTAGTGGGTGACTTGATTGGGGATTTGAATTTTTGACGATTTATCTGAAAATATATACATCAAATAATTGAGCTAGGTTCAAGTTGACTAATAGGTGACTTGTAAGACTTCTCGATCATTAAAATAAAATGTTCCACCATAAAATTTATTGGTCACATTTACAATTAATTTGGTGCGAGAGATTCTGGAATACTCTCAGTAGTGGCAAAAAAAAAAAAATAGTAACCTTTAATTGGAACGTTGTATAAAGACCAAATTTTGGTATAATCTGTATCAAAGTTAAATTTATAAAGATGAAGAATGTAATATAAACATTAGTTTAGTTTGTTAATAGAAAGATTTCTCTTTTTAATTATAGAAAAAGAGGAAAATGAAAATAAAAACAAGAAAGCAACATTTGAATTGTCCAAGAAACATATAAAAAACACAATCATAAAAAAAGAACAAAATACATATGAACAAATTAATTTAGAATTTCCAAAAAGACTTCAAGTTTGTTGGGTGGCAGAAGCAAAGTTCAATGGATTCATTCAAACTTTAAAGCAATAAATTAAGAGTTCAATTATGATTGAAAACTATAAAATAATTATTTCATAATTGAAGAACGTGATGTCATTCTCTCTTACAGTTGCGTTTCATTACCAAATTAGCTTTTTAAAGCTGTGCGAAAGATGACTTTACAGGCAGTGAGGCAGATCCTATTTTCTTTCTTGTTTATTCCAAAAAGAAAAAAAAAGATTCTGTTCGTTTCGATTTCGAGTCCATTTCTATTTCATTTTTATCTTTCATATCTTTATGATTTTTTTTTACACTTGAATTTGATCTAATTTGGTATAATATTTACAATATTTTAGTATTTTTATGAATACATTATTATCCAACATAGCTTAACTTAACAGATAAAGCAATTTACTTCGTTTTTTTAAGTCGGAGGTTTAATCCCTCGTCTTTTTATTTGTTATACCAAAAATAAAAATGCCATAAAGGATAGTTTCTCTTTTAGTGATTGCATCAAATCAGTAAGCCAAAAATATTAAACTACTGTAAGAAGAAAATATTTGCATGCTTTAGATTATTTTAAACATATTTTTGACTAACTAAAAATGCTTTCTAAGTTTCTTGTGATTTTTAGGGCTATTATTAATTAGTTCAGCATCGTAACTAAAGGTATTTTTCGATTAATAAAAAATATTTAATCAGTTAAAAATACTTTTTGTCGGTTCAAAAGTAATTTCAGTCACACTCTTAATAAGAAAATACGTGTTAATCGAAAACGTATTTCATCCAAAACACTATTTTAAAAATCATTCTGGAGAAAATAATTATACTGATAATTGTGAGAGTGCATATAGGAGACAGGAAGAACGTTATTTAGAAAACCCTTATCCGATGCATTGAATATTTAGTTGGTTTGAGAGTTCATATCCACTGATTATTATTTTTATCAAATAATAGCTAAATTTTGAAGATAGACTTTGGAGTTTGAATTTATGAAAAGAGGGCCACATTGCATTTAGAGTTGAACAGAGAATTGTGAGAGCCTAACTGATATGAGCAATATTAATTGGTCCACTGTGCTCCTTGAATATTGGATTGGTGAGGGAGAGAATGACAAATAAATTATTTTTAGAAAAATGATTTTTTTATATCCGTGAATATCAGGGTCGTACATCATTTGGTGGCGAGAAACACATAGAAACTCATTCTCTTTTGATTAACTCCAACTCCTTTGGTCCAATGACCATGATAGTCATATTTAGAAAAATTTTGATGGGTAAGAGAGAAATATTGTAGAAAAGGGATTTATTTATTTTTAAATAGAAAAGTTGTCAAATTTTTGTTGGTAATCCGAACAAAGTGTTCAACGAAGTAGTATTGTTCTTGTATTTATGAGAGTTATTGAGCCACTACTAATGGTGGCTAGGAAAAGTTGATGAAATACGACAAATTTTAGTACCATCACTAATGGCTAGGTAAAGTTGATGGAAAACGACAAATTTAATTAGTTCCACCTATCATTAGGTATTGTTTGCAAAACGAAATAAAAACTTATTTAATATATCTTTCAAGTTTTTCTTTGTTAGAGAAGTTAGAAAACAAAATGTAAAAATAAGAAATGAATTTGGTAATTGTTTTTTTTATTGGAAAATGAAATGGAAACATGTTTAGTTACATATTTCCAGTTTAAAACGCCCATATTTATAAAAAAATTGAAAACAAAAAACAAAAACAGAAACATTACCAAGATATTACTTTAACATGTTCCAAAGAAACAAAAATGGTACTCCACGCTCTAAAATTATTATACAAACATAAGATCTCTCTATGTGTACTAAAAAACCATAAGATCTCTCTATTTTCTTTTTAAGCATGTTAGTTGTAAAAGTCATCTTTCCAACTCATTAAATTGGTGAGGGCTATATATATATATATATATATATATATATATATATATTTTGAAGAAATTAGGGTTTCTTCCAAGACATTTGAATATGTAAAAAGGGGGAAGAAATAGGCAATTTGGCATGTGTAAGCACCCAAGATGGTCCCATTACACAGTTGTACCAAAACCCTAATTTTTTTTAAAAAAAATTAATTCTTTTTTAATGTTGTAAACACTTGATTCCCTCATAAGGGAGCCTTTCTTGCAGTTTTATATTATTTTTTTAAGATATGAGAAAATATTCCCCACACCCACACCAAATCCTAACCCTAATCCTAATTCTCTCTTTCTAAAATAATAGTCTTTGACGTCCAAAATTAGAGATGATCCTAGGTATCTCTTTAGTCTAGACATGAACCTACTCTTGTATCGGTTAGAAGTTGGAAAGATCAATATAATCTTATATCTCTCTAAATAAGAATAATAACATTTTCACTATTGCCAACAATAAATTAAGCTCAGAGGTGGTTTTTAAAAATTATGTTTGTTTATGCACAATTTCATTAGTTAGTTTTTAGCCAAATTTTAAAACAAAAATAAAGTCTAAATTTAAAATATGTTATTAAAAATGTAACTATATATAATAAAACAAAGCAATATTAAATATACATAGGTGAAAGTAATGTTTCTTTTGTTTAATCTTTAAAAAACAAAAAACAAGCAACCATGCATATAATAATACATGACTTAAATACTTAAGACCTGTGACAGCATAAGGCTAAAGGCTCTTACCACACTGTGCCATACTCAAGGGGTACACTGCTTATATTTATAAAACATTGTTATGTTTGTAATTATTTTTACAAAATTATATGTTTACAAATATTTTTTAAATATATATATATATATATATATATATATATACAAATCAATAAAGTTTTTCTAGTATGAAATTATATTATCGTGGATATATACATGAAGAAATAAATTGTTAATAATAATTAAAAAGAGAGAGAGAGAGGGAAAGGGAGATTATGACAAATATCCATGTTGGTTTGGTATTAAAATGTTGAGTTCATTATAGCCACATGATTCACCAAACCACAAACAAACACAATGAAAAAGAATGGTCCTTTTAAGGGGGAAAAAACGTATAAAATTAATTAGTTGCTTGCCATTCCACACTAATCATGCTCACCCATATATTAATTAAAGAATGCAAAATTGCAGTATCTATCTTTGAGGAAACTTATATTCCATATTATGCTTCTTCTCCAATTTTCCTGAAAATCTTTTCTTATAAATTTGTTATGAAGCAAAGAAGAAGATAGATTAGAGAGAAAAAAAAAATAATTTGTATAAGTTGGACATGAATTAGTTATAAAGATTTCCTATAAATTATTTTCAGTTTTTTTTTTTTTTCCGAACCTTGGACCTCTATAGAAGGAACAAGCAGATGCCTTAACCAATAAGTTATATTGATATATGTCGGCTAGCAAAATTTAACTGGTTAAAAATAATTGATCTGTTTTGATCTTTGAAATTGAATTTTAATGTGGATGTTAGACCATTACTTTTCAAGCTCAAAAATAGACCTAAATACACACCTTTGAACATGATGTTATAGAAAGATAAAACATTTGAAAATATAACCATAAAAATAGAATTGTGTAAAAATTCAAAGACTCGTAACAGAATTCTAAATCGACCTAATTTTATATGTTATATAAACGAAACCTAGTCATCTTATCTCAATGATCACGTAGAAGCATTATTGATTGATGAAATTTGATTCATTCAATGTATTATAATATTATAAACAGATCATAAATACACGTTTTCTCACGAAAATTTTCGATCGATCGATAAAGATAAGAAGGGAAATGGAGAGGGGAAAAGATAAAAATCATGGTTTTTAATTTCTTATTAAATACAAGTGAACTATATATTTAATTATTGGACTCAATCTTCTCCAAGAATCTTGAGATCCTCTCTTTGTTTAATTCCCTTTAAAATATTGTAAAGAACACCCCAACAATTAAATTATACTTTATAATTCATAGTTTTCTGGCATATAATAAGAGGAAATTCCAATGTCTCCCAATATTAACCATTAATTACAAAAAAGGAGGTTGTGGTTCAAGTAACCTACACCTATACTTTTAATTGGAAGAGAATCTTTATATTATATGGGATTGGGGTTTGATCTTTCATCTTTATGGATTGGGAACTGTTTGGCAAATCACTTTATTTTATTATTATTATTATTAATATTATTATTATTTTCTTGGTTTTGAAAAGCAAAAACACAGCGGTTTTCAAGGGATCGGAGTATTTTACTTTGCCAAACGTGTGGTGTTATATGTTTGCACGTGCTCTCAAATCTACGGTGGATATTTCATATATTCTCTGCATCTCTCTCCACTTCTCCTTGTCTTTTCCTTTAATTTACAAACATTTATAATCCCGGTTCGGTTGGGTTCGATTTCATATCAAAATTAAAAGTAATTTAATTAATTTGGATTTGATCAGTTTTATGGTTGATTTTGTCGGGTTTTTCTTTTCTATTGCTCCTCATTGAACAACGTTTTGGTTCGACATTGAAAATTTTGGTCTCGATTTTTCTTCCTTTTGAATCTAGAAAAAGAAAAATAGACTCTTAATCTTAATTAGGGTTTGAGCAAACGTAAGTTCAATTTCATTTTAATTAATGACGGGTTTTATATATGTATATTTATGTATGAAATTAATGAAAAAGCAAAACATGGACGTATATTATTCTTTCATTTTTATAAAATAATAACAAATTTTTTTTTTCTTCCATTTTTTCTATGCCTTTGGAGTGTGATGTGTTGGAGTAAACAATTGAGTCAAAATACAATATCTTCTGGCTTTTTTTTTATTTTTTCTTTTTGTTAATGTGAAAAACAAATCTTTAAATTAGATCATCATTCTATATTTAAAAAAAAAGCTTATAAATCAAGTTGGTAAACGTTTATTTTAATTGTTATCGTTTGGATTTTTGTTTAAGGGTTTGAAAACTTTCATATTAAATAATTATGGGTCCAATAATAACCCTTTCGATTTTAAAAAATTAGTTTTTTTAACTATGTATATTTGATGTTATATATATAAAAGAGAATAGTTATCAAGAGGTTAAAAAATCAAGATGATTTGGTTTGTTTTAAATATATATTTTTTTCCCTAAAATTTAATGTAAGATAGGAGATATGGGTAATATAAATGGTTTAAACACAAACTTAGTACATGTACGATGTAATCTTACAATATTTTAATTCATATACATATTCTTATAATGACTAATGATTCCATCTTGTCTAGGCCAAAAAAAAAAACTAATGGAGTCTAATTACTTTTAAAAACTTTCCAATTAAATTTATTTGCTGAAACGCCAATTAAATTATTGATATTAAAATCTTGTTGTATTCCAAATAATTTAGCCACATATTTCATTATTTTTTATTAGATTTTGGACGAAAATTTTAACTCTAAGAATTTTATTATTCAAAAGTATAATAACTAAATTAAAATTACTATATTTGATAAGCTTTATTTTATATTTTTAAAAATTAAGACTATAAATACTACTTTGGCCTTGTATTTCAATATTGTTTTGTCATCTACTTTTTAAAAATGTTTTCAAATTCTAAACCAAAATTAGAAAACTAGAAAAGCTTTTAAAATGTTATTTTTGTCTGTGAAACTCAACCAAAGATTCAAATGTATTTCTCAAAAAGGTTAAAAATATAGAAAAATAATACGAAAAATCAAGTATAATTTTAAAAATATAACAAAAATGAAAAAGTTATGAAATGAATGTTACACAAATAGAAAACTAATAATATACTTTTAACAATTTTATTTATTTATTTCATAATTGAGAACTCCAAGAAACCATAATTTTAGGTTTCTAGCTATAGAAAATTCAAATGCAATTTCCAAATTTTGCACAAGTCAAAGCGAGACTTGGACACGCAATCGCTGCGCGCGTGGCATGTGAATAAACTTTGGTCTTCATGGCCAATCATATTGTTTAATATTAAATATTATAATATATTCGAAGATTATTTGAATTTTCCATTTATTTTTTTAAGAAAAGTCATATGATTCACGATTTAATGTTATAAAATTTTGTTTGAATTATTATTTAATGTAATTTTTCTTGCGTTGAAAGTTGAGTTCAGACTTTGGATGGAAAGTTAACCACGCAAGAAGAAAGAAACACGAAGCTATATATATATAAAATAATAATTAAAATTTTAAATTATATTATTTTATAAGTAAAAACTATTAATTAAAATTTCTATAATGGATATCAATATTAACACATGAAAATTTTAGAAATTTAAAAAATTGTTATAGCTTATAAAATTTTAAAAATGTTATAATTTCTCCAACATTTATTGTAGTTTTTCTCACTTTATACATGACAAAGAAGTGTGAAAAAGAGAAAGTTGACTGAAAATGTCAAATAATACTATTTGATATGGATAATGAATTTTACCATTTTATTTAAAAAAAATAGTTGGAGATTTTTTCAAATTAATATTTCTTTAATTGCTTTCTCAACATATATATTTTTTTTTGGAGACGTCTCAACATATATATTTATCTATAATCTGAAGCATACTTAATTAATTATATATAAATGATTGTGTTTTACATATATTGATTTTTATGGTTAAAATTGACTTGTTTTGTTTTTATTTTGTAAGGTATCACGATTTGAATTTATAATGAGATTTATTACACCAACTAATCTTTTTTTAGTTAATCTGTCTCTTAGAGATCATGTAAAAATTTCTTAAAACATATAGATAGTTAATTAATAATATGTTGTGGCGGCATAAAATGACATTATTCATAAATTTATTTATATGGTTTCAAAATATTTATTATTTAAAAGCATTGAAGTTATCTCTTTTCCTCCACAATTTAAATTAGCTTGTAAGTAAACTTTAATTTTATAACCATGGAGAGACTTTTAACAATTAACCTATAGAGTACAATAAATAATTTTAAAATATATGATTTAAGATAAATTAGAAAATTAATATAAGCATATAATTAAGAAATATATATTCTGACTATAGGTTCGAATCCCCACCTCACATATTGGTGTATTAAAAATATATACAAAAGACAATATTGAATTATTTATCTTGTTATGTAACGATAAAGATTTGAAATAAATATGATTATATTTTTTTACATCCCAACAAGAAATAATAATGAATTTACTAATATATGCTTTTAGTTTTAATTTATTGACGAAAATTAAAATATGATACTATTAAATCAATAATTTACCTTAAAATTCCATGAAATATTAGGATCGGTTTCATGTAGATTTTTTTTTTATTTTTTATTTTTACGATTCGAAATCATGTATATTTCATAGGATAACAAAAAAAAGAAGAAAAAACGAAATTTATTAGATATACTTTAGGATTTTCAAGATCTCGAAAGAAGCAGCTAATGAGAGGGATTAATGTGGATTTGGGAAACAAAGTAAACGAGCTCACGTGTTGGTTGAAGTAATAAGACGATTTTGTCCTTCCTAAACCCTCTCTACTTTCTCTCTCTTTTCTAAATTAATTGATATAATATGACCCCCACAGATCATGCTCCAAACAACTCAATCAGATTTGGTCCCTAATCAATTCATTAATTTAACATCCTACAAATTTAAATATATCCTTCTAAATTTACCATTATTATCATTTATTTGTTCAAATAAAAGCCATATTTATAGTTTCTCATTCTCTAAATAGTAGTCTTTTTTTTTATAAAAAAGATATTAGTAGATTTTACAAAAAAAAAAAGACATGAATAATTTTGTTGGGAGTAATTCATATCTTACCTCCCCGTTTGAAAATGTAACAATCTAAAAAAAACTTTTACACTTGGTCTCTCTATACATTATCTCGTCATTCTAAATTTCACCACTAATCAAAATAAGAATAGATCACATGATTTTTTTTCTTAATCTTTCAACAACGATAAAAGTATGGTGTACTTAAAACCAAACAAAAGATACATATTCATTATCCAAAATTAAATTATCAAGGCTAGAAACACAACACAAATGATCGTAGGAGACTGGTGCTAATCAAGCCAAACTTGTAGAAACTATTGCTATCGTGGAAGCCTTGAATTACTACCAAATTAAATTCAACGCTTATCTCTTCTAGAATCAGACTCCATTAAAGTCATCTAACTCCTCAATAATATAGACGAAGATATCACTGAAATCAACAACTTCATTACAGAAGTCTTAGAACTGGTGCAACACACACAACGGTAAAATCTTCCGCTCATATATTGCCATAAGAAGAACATAGTGGTTCACTCAGCTACTTGAGCAAACCACCTTAAAATCCCAAAAATATGGGAGCCTCTTTTTTTTTAAAACATAATTCACTTGTTTTCGTAATTTTCAATTTCCACATTAAAAAAAAAAAGCTACTTATTCATAATTTACAAAACCTAAATACTTAAAACGAATTGTTTTTATTGTATTTTGACTTACTATTTTACTATAAAGTAATAAAAATGATTAACGTACCTTTTTATACAAATTTTAAGGATTAAAAAACATAAAAATTTATGAAACAAAATATGATTTAAATTAAAAAGAATTATGAAAATATTGTTTTTGGACAAACCCTATAAATTGTCTCCCCATTACCCTAGAAAATGGTACTAAAAAAGAATTTCTAGAACCTACATGTAATGTTAAATGTAATTAAATCAAATCTATACCTTTTCTTGACATTAAAAATGAAATTTATTTTTCTTAGGTAAATTACTTACAGAATTTGACAGCTGGTGTTTCTTCATTACGGGCATTATTGGTTAAGACTACTTTTTAATATTGGGAAACAAAATTCAATTGGTGGACCCCACTCTTGAAGGTTCAATCCTACGTGCATGATTAATTCCCAAATCTGATTTGATTGACCTAATCCATGATCAAATACAAGGATATGATGATCTCCTTTCAGCTAATTAACCTTTTTTTTAATACAAAACAATATTAAATATGTTTGCTTCGAATAAATTGATGATTCCCCCATTTTTTTTCATCTTACAAGTTAATCAATTAATCATTCCATTAGTTTTTTTTACATCAAATATGAAAATGGAGGATGGATCCCTCGACCTCTAGAGAAAGAGCAAACGGAACTTTACTTAATGTAAGCTTCCATTAGTTTATTAACTATAAGGGTCATAATTTCAAATTATAGTTAAAAATTTTATATTTATAAGATTTAATAGTAAAAAAGAAAAAAAAAATTTGCTTCCCTCTTTCTATACATTTATGAAAGTGCATTAAGGCTAATTTTCGACCTTTGATCCTGAGGAGGAGTTATCGGATCATTTAATTTACCGCGGTATAAGAGATGGGATAAAGAGAAAGAGAACCCAGAGGTAAAAAAAAATCGATTTACTTTCTTAATATATGTGCCTTTGTAATTATTTTTATGAACATATTTATAATCTTCTCAATGAATTAAATCTTAGTACCCTATACTAAAAAAAATTCTTACATTTAATATAATTGGATGAAAGTTAATTTTTTCAAAGAAAAAGCTTTGATAGTCAAAGATATTTTCATATATCTTCTTATTCAACGTCAATAATGAAAATAAAAGGTGTATTTAAGCATCAAAATATTGAACAAATTTATAAGTTATAATTTCCTCCTCATATTTCAGTGACATTATTAGATTCAAACAAACTCTTATGAACAACAATTCAACTCTTTCAATACAATTTTATTCAAATTCCAATCAGAAAAAGGACAAATAAAAATAATATATACACACTACTAATAAATGAGACAATAATAGGATATTGACATAAATAATCAACAAGAATAAAACGCAAAAACGAAATGCCCAAAAGTCTATATATTTAATAAAGATAAACATTTATGGAGTGCCACCATTAAAATAAAATAGATCATCACTAAAAAAATACTTATAAATCAGAGACAGTCACTATCAAATGGAGTGGTTAAAAGAGAGAAAAAAGAAAAATATTGTTAATATTATAATGAATTAAAAAAAAAGTTTATGGAAGTTGTCAAAAAATGAAGAGAGAGAGAAGAAAAAAAGGAGGGTTAGAAAGAAAAGCATAAAATGTAAGTATAAATAAGATTAAAATCGTAGAGACAATCTGATCCAGCGATGCAATAATTGTTGGGAGTGTGAAAAAGAGCTTAAAAAGAGGGCTTTGGAGATCTCTCTTGTTTCTCAGACTGCCTCCACTTTCTCTCTCTAGTTTCTTTTTTTAAATTTATTTTTGGTTTTTCTCTCTGATCT